ACACTATCCAGTGGCCACTGCTGCCACAGACTTGTCTCTGAACTCAATTCAACTAAGATCAAAGCATGAGCATTCATACATCCCTTAGCGATGTGCCTATGGGTACCATGCTGGGACCTTTCTGCTTCATCTCAGTACAAGCTCAGGAACAGAACAGAAAGCACTGTCGTACATCCCTTAGCGATGTGCCTATGGGTACCATGCTGGGACTTTTCTGCTTCATCTCAGTACAAGGTCAGGAACAGAACAGAAAGCACTGTCATGTAGAAAGATGTCTGAAACCAACTCATAGACTGCTTGTCCTACAAAGAAATAGAAGGGCTTATATTCATCTTGCCTGGTTTTTAGCATGTAACTGAGGTGCTAAATTTCAGAGCACAGCGATGTGCCTATGGGTACCATGCTGGGACTTTTCTGCTTCATCTCAGTACAAGGTCAGGAACAGAACAGAAAGCACTGTCATGTAGAAAGATGTCTGAAACCAACTCATAGACTGCTTGTCCTACAAAGAAATAGAAGGGCTTATATTCATCTTGCCTGGTTTTTAGCATGTAACTGAGGTGCTAAATTTCAGAGCACAGTTGCTCTTGGTTTCCTTTACATTCAATGGAGGGGCATAGTCACACCCAGGTACCCACTTCCCTCCCGTGTCATACTCCAGGAGCTATAACAATTATTTTGTACTTACGATAGGAGTGGAACTATTTTATTACACACATTTTGTTTAAACCAGGTATATGCTGCGCAAACATCCTGCAAGGGCGGGGACGGAGCTCAACTTTATCTCGCTGTTCTGGCCACAGTTACCATCAGGAATTCAAGCTGCTTATGAAAACGTTAATAGAGATGAAGTTTTACTTTTTAAAGGTAATTGAAACTGAAATTCTCTGCTTTTTCTGACCAGTTACTCTCTGCAAATTTGCAGACTATGCAGTCACAAAAGTCAAAGTGTTTTTTAAAGAAAATCAGTGAAAGAGAGAGTCTTAAAAATCTTCAAATAATTAAAAGAGAGGATCACAGAGTTATACTGCTCTAAGGGATCTCCAGAGGTCATAATCTTGAAAATTCACCCCTCTTTTATAGTTAATGGTCTGAGAAACAAGATGTAAAAACAGCTTCCTTTCCTCAGGTCTAGTTCTCTTCAGGTAACAGAATTTCACTTTATATAGAAGGATTTTTCCTGAATTCAAGCAAATACAGACACTTATACACTACTGTTACTGATATGCTTATTAGTATTTTGTGATATTTTGGGGGAAAAGTAAAAAAAGTGGTGGAAAAGTGTACTCTGAGGGGAAAAATTTTTTACTGAAAAAACAATCAATCCTTTTCTTTAAGGATCTCAAATATGCTTTAAGTGTCTCAGATAACTTCATTATGCACATACAGTACATGATATATTACCATATATGAATATGTTCATTGCATCTAAAATTAACAAAGCATTTTGAGTAGGCATATGCCCTTCTTAATAGTTTAATTTAATGCACATTATCTAGTTTTCCAAATATTATATGTCTTTGTAAGCAAATACAGAAATTTAATAGATTAAGTATCCCAATCCAATGTCAGTGGATTAACTCATCAACCTCCAGCCCTCCCCAAGTTGATACCCAGACAAATATTTTCTATTAATGTTTTTAAAAGTCTGGGAAAAGTATTATTCTCATATCTTATGACTGTTAATGTTTTACTGATAAAATCAGAAGACATTTACACTGTATTCATGATGTAGTCCTAGTGTAAGAATTAGAAACATTTTCTACAGTAATAAACCAAATGGAATGATACTGATGTCTAAGACACATTGTTTGTTACCCATTTGAAATACAATTAAATGTTGTTTATAAAGAGCAAAACCAAATGAAATGTGCTTATACTTTTCAGAGGGTAAATATTGGCTTGTCAGGGGATATGACGTTGCACGTGGCTATCCTAAACCAATTTATCATCTGGGGTTCCCAAAGACTATTAAAAGAGTTAATGCTGCTTACAGCGATGAAGTCACAGGAAAAACATACTTCTTTGTAGCTGACAGATACTGGAGGTAAGATTTAATGTTCATTTACTAGAAGGCATTTTTCCACCTGTCCCCAAGGACTGATGTATTACTATAACATTCAAGTGCAATGATTTGTAGACCACGTATATTCTAGAAATTCAAGCAGGATTCTCTGGAAGCTTCAAAATTTTAAGCATTTGCTAGGAAATACCAACTTTTCTGTAATATATTTTCACCATTAATTAGATTCCTAATTAGCAGGAATGTAATTACTTGCAGTTGGATAAAACTTCTGCCCAATAAAAAAGTGATTTTCTTGTAAATTATTCTTTTTTTTCACCACAACACTGCTGCTGTTCTGTGCAATGTTGTGATAGTGTCCACTTTCCACTTTTCAAATAAAATTAGCTGCTAATAAAAAGTGTTGTAATTGAGTTTCTCTATGAGTAAACTACAAGTATTTTCCAATTGTACAGTTGGTTGAAGTGTAGCTTATGACAAATTTCAGAGAGTAATTTTGTTAAGAAGTACGTAATTAACACTAATACAATTATGCTACAGGACTCTGCTTATATTTTCTAGTCTCGAGTTTTATGTTTTGCTTTTATACTGGACTGGTTATACAGTTCCTCAAAACAGAAACTCATTTTATGTGCAAGCAATGGCCAAGGCTCTGAAATGCATTAATAAATTCATGGGCTGCATTCCCAAAATTTTTGAAAGCCTTGTTACCCACTTTATCAAAGGCAGGATCTTCAAATCTCAAGACACTCATAATGTGAGAACCTTAATATATAATAATGAGAATCAAAAGGTTACTTCAGCTAATCTTTGTAAAGCTTCTTAGTAACAGTACAGTTGCGTATGTGTATGAATTTGCTTTGGAATTTCAAAATATTGTCTGCTTCCTCACAAATTGTAATGATGTTTTTTGTGTTAAGATATGATGAAAACAAGAAATCTATGGATCCTGGTTATCCCAAGAAAATAGTCTCCCACTTTGGAAAAATTGGCCGGGTTGATGCTGCTTTCCAGAAAGATGGTAAGTAAAATATAAATTTAATCTCAGTTTACTTAAATATTTAGGTTTCTGTAGATAGAATAATTTTATTTCAAATCTCTGTTATTAAGTGTAATGAGATGGAAGTGAAAAAAAGCAAGTACACATGGACCGTTTATGTTGTGTGTTTGGTTTTTTTTTCCAAAATACTAAAAAGTCATCTATGAAATACCAATGGATTAAATTCTATTTCTAGGCTATGTCTACTTCTTCCATGGAACAACTCAGTTCCAGTTTGATCCTCGTGCTAAACGGATTGTCGGAATAATGAAGAGCATCAGCTGGTTTAATTGTTAATTGCAGTGGTTTTCCAGATGCATCCTATGTATTTATGTGATGAATTTTTCAGTATTTTGTAACTAGCAAGTCAGAATGGATTTCTGCTCAAGTTCTGTAGGATTATAATTTTTTACTGTGAAATAAATATTGTTATATAATTTATCAAAATTTCACCTGCTACATAAAAGTTTCCTAATAAATCATGTTTGTCATATCATTGTGTCCTTAATGTCTTACTTGCACTAATACTCAAGAGCCAAGCCTAGCTTCCAAACACCAGAAAACGTATCCTGGCATGAAATGTCTGATCTTTTCCCCCAAAGCCAGAGAAAAGAGCAGACAGCTGGCTCTGAACTTCATCACCCCATGGAAGCCCTGGTAGAAATCCTATGGGTAACTAGGCCAATTTGGACTCTTTAGCATCAGTCTACAAACCACACTTCCACTTTCTGTTCCCCTTGCCCCAACTTCCCCTCTTAGCCTTCTCTCCAAGGTATATGTCTTTGCAAGTATAGGTGGAGGTTTTTTATCATGTTTTTGGATTTAGGAACTAGATTTAAGCCTGGAAATGCAGATTAAAAGGGACCTCTAAGATCATAGACTCATTTCAACTGGAAAGGACTTTTAAGATCATTGAGTCCAAAAGTTAACACTGCCAAGCTCATCATTAAACCATGTCCCTAAGCACCACATCTACATATCTTTTAAATATTTTCAGGGATGGAAGACTCTACCACTTCCCTGGGCAGCCCTGAGCTTTAACAACCCTTTCATTAAAGAATTTTTTCCTAATATCCGATCAGACCCTCCCCTGATGCAACTCAAGGCCATTTCCTCTTGTCCTATCACTTGCTACTTGGGACAACAGACCAATACCCACCTGGCTACAACCTCCTTCCAGGTAGTTGCAGAGAGGGATAAGGTCTCCCCTCAGCCTCCTTTTCTCCAGGTTAAACAATTCCAGTTCCCTCAGCCGCTCCTCATAAGACTTGTTCTTGAGTCCTTTTAGAGCAGCCCGTTGCTATCACAGGGAGCCATGTCATATTCTGGACAAACAATACACTTTACTCAAGGCTCTTTCAAGTGATTACTACTCCAGTAGTTAGTAAATCTCTCCTAATTTCAGTGTATTAAAGGATGAAGAAGTTTACTTAAAAAATGAAAATTCCTGATCAAAAATGTTTCTGATAAAAAAAGTTCACAAAAAAGACAGCTTGTCTCCCAGCTTAACAGCAATTTTTTTAATTAAATTATCATTTAATTAAAATGATGTTTGAATTGTTATCCACTTTCTCTTTAGTCTTTGTAGCTCAACTCATAACATTAGAAGCTGTATGACCATAACAAAATGTGTTATCTGATACATCTGTATTATCTAACATATTTCAGAAGAAGGCTTCAGGTTACTCTAATAGAAGTAATTGCATTTTGAGAAAAGAACGTTTAACCTTACAAAAACATAGCAATTCAATTTTTTTCATTACTTAGCTGTCTGTATTAAAAATCTATTAAACTGTGTCCTTCATTAATAAAGAACAGACTTGGTAGTTTTTACATTTATTAAATTCGAGAGTAAAAATTAGTTTAAATGCAATTCAAAGATTAGAAATTGTATAATTAAAATTAACTTAGTTATATTATATTCTTTATAAAACCTTAAAAATTAGTATATAATTGTATTATATTAAAATAAAATTAAATTAGACTAAATCAAAGACTTTAATGAAGAAGTTAACTTGTGTGAATTGTGTTCTCATAAGGTAATTTAGGTACTGGTTCTTTAATTCTAAACTGTAGTAGCAATGCTATATAATAATATTTTCTTGTGTAGGCTTGTGCTACTGAACCACCAATGACAATTAAACTAAAAATTGTTTTAAAAGTCTGTAAATCTAAATTGATCATTTTATTTCAGCAGAGATGGTCTACAAACAGTATAAGATTTACAGGCAAAGATAATATTTTTTATTAGACCAATTATATATAAATAAATAGAAATTTGGGACACATATTCCCTTCAGATATGAAGTAGAAGCAGAAGGAGAGGCTGGATGTGGCACTTAGTGCAGTGGACTGGCCGATATGGTGGGGTTGGGTCATGGGTTGGTCTTGATGATCTCAGAGGTCTCTTCCAGCCTCAACAATTCTGTGATTCTGTGATTCTGTGATCTCAAGACAGTGCCAGAATAGCTCCTCAGATTTAGAGCAGAACAGTAATCCCACCCTGGATAAGAAAAATAGAGGGTACACATGAAGCAGAGAAAATGTTAAATGAGAGACAAGGGTTATGTTTGCCATTTAACATTTTCTCTGTTTCGTGAGTTAAATGTTATGTGTTCCGCTCTAAATCCAAGGGAAAATGAAGAGGCTAAAGAGAGGATGAAGTTTATAATGACATATTTTCAATCCATGCCTTTTGGTGTCCTGTGAAGTTCTGATTTTTAGCTGCTAAGCACTTTTTTTTAATATTTTTTGTGTATATTTCCCTTGAGCAAGAAGACCAAGAGCTCTAAATGAAGTGATTTCTTTGTAACAAATGTTTCCCATGTTTATGTGAGTGAATATTTCCTCTGCCTGCGTGAACGTGGCAGTTGCTCCATTCCAGCCACACCGCCAGGAGGAGGGCACGGCTGGTGCTGGCAGGTACAAGCACCGTTTTCGGAAATTTGGAATCTGGATGTTGTTTCTAGCTCAGTCCACACAATAACCTGCCAACTTCTTACTCTCTTTTAATAAGTTTATGGTCCTATACTGAACTATAGTAGAGTACCATACCATTCCCTAGTGTCTGGTTACTGGTTTTGTGTGTAGTCATAGCCCGTATCATTGTTAACTGACATACCTTTGCCCAGGCAGGTATCCAATTCACTAAACACATGTTTAGAGTATTTGAGGTGCTGTAGGTAATCCAAGTCACCTATGCAGGTTTGAAAGAGGACTTCTGGGAGATCAGCACTTCTCAAAACCCTAGGCACCTATGTTTGGGTGGTTGAATCATGTCCTCACAGGCTGCAGCCTTTGTTAAAGGCTTGCCAGGTCTTAAAAACCTTATTTGAACCATTTATTGTTGTCTCATGTTTTTCACTCAAGCTGAGGAATGATTTGTTAACTATATGTGAAGACTGAGCCTGCAAAATAGTGGTTCAACTCAGCTGACTGAACAGGTATCTATTGTCATTAAGCTGCTGGAGATTTCCAGCTGGCCTCTATCTATCAGTCTAGAAGCCACATGTTCCCTTTAGGTTCTGAGTCATAGCCACCAGGCCTGAGCCAGTGTCTTAGGTTCACTGGATTGTCTCAAAAGCACAACAAATCACTGTTTAGATGGCTGAATTGCAGCCAAAGTGTTTTCATGTGAGTTCAGACTTAGGCTCTCGTCATTGTCAGTGGTGTTGGTCAGAATATTTGGTGAGTTCCTGATAGCTGCACAAATCTTCCTAAGTTTATCTTCTGCACATGGTCAGATGAAATGCTCTCTAGATGCCATTTGACCATATTATTTAGATTTCTGTTGATATAATGCCAGCCTACATGGTTAACTCACGTGCAGACACCCATGCTGTGAACAGTCAGGAAATCTGAATTCCCCCTGGTATTGTGTCGAGATCACCACAATGCAGCAGTATTGATACTTCCTGTGATGCTCTGTGTAGCATCATTTGGTATAGCCAATGTGATGAGGACAGGCAGCAAACTCTCTGGGTTAAAATATAGGTCATGTAACTGTGGTCAGGATAAAAGTAGTTCTAGGATGAGAAAAGAAGTCATGATGTAAATCAACACCCACCAACTCTAACCAATGTCAAAGATAAGCATTAGGAAACCATAAGCAGCAGCTGCTTACGTAGCTTCTTCTTTTCCCAGACCTCAAGGCCAGCTATAGACGGATTTGTGAAACATTGCTTGCGAAAAACGTGTTCAAGCCTCTCTCCCATGCGCAGTGGAAACTGGATGCTACGTTGCATCATTGGTCAAGTTGCAAAACCCTGAAAGTGTTTAGAGTGATATAGACGTCCATCATCTGTCACTCAGATGTTTTCTAAGCCAACACTAATGTAACTTGAGCTGTGAGCTGAAGCTGGAAATGTAGTCTAAATTAGTTGTTTAAACTTCTCTATAGTTAATAAAGACAGAGAGCACATATAGAGGCTGGCTCATCCTATTCTACGATAGCGGGCTGAATCAGTCTCCAGATATATGTGTTTCTTCATTTTCTGTAGAAGAACGCTTAACTAATAAACATATAAATTTAGGTGCAACTAATCCTAACCCAGCTGTTCTCATTGTCCCTATACTTCCACGGCTACACAGCAGACAGCTGTGGGGATCTGACGGCCAGACACAGTGGGAAAAAAGAAAACCCTTTCTCTCAGTTCATATCAAATCTGCTCATAGTGCTGAATTATTTTTTTTAAAAAAAAACAAGTTCCTATCAGCCAAAACAGGGAGGTTGGATTAAAATCATCTCTAAGGTCCCTTCCAGCCTAGGCCGTTCTATGATTCTATGATTCTATGTAAAAACATATTTTAAAAAAAAATGTGCTCTAATGCCATTGGAAAGTATGCTTGGTGCTGCCACTGAAAAGGGGTTTGTCTTTTGTGATCTACACCATATACATAGTCAGATAAAAGCATCATGGTCATTCCTTCTAGCTTTAAAACCTTCGAGACAAACAAATATACCCATATAAAAACATAAGAGAGAATTTAAAAACTAAACTTTTTACTTCTGGATAAACACATATGTCATTTCCAGCATCAGTACAGTCGAGCTCTCCATCTCAGAAAAGTCATTGTCACAGTTTTTATGTCAGTTACAGAGCTACAATACAATGATAATAAAAACAAATTAAGGGAGGAGTTTGTTTGGGGTTTTTTTGGTAGCTGAGAAATGCCTTTAATAAACAAGTTTAACTAGCAAGTCCACATTGTGAAATTTGGGCTAGAAAATTCGTCATTAACGCCTCCAGCTGGAGAAAAATTGGCTGCAAGAGACAATAAAAAAAGTAAAAAAGACG